AAGAATTTGAGGCGTTGAAGAGATCTAAATTACTGATTGAGGGTTCATTTTGTTCGTTTCAACAATATTTATCTTTCGTGCACGCTTCTTTCTAAATATTTTTTTGAGATGAGCATTGGATGACGTGGTAACTTGATAATGTATTGTTGATGAGAATGATAATGATTAGTGCAAAGTGCAGGTGACTAATGGTTGTAGGCGTAATATCTGGGCCGGGCAGATAGGTTTGTTGATGTTTCAGAGAGTAGTACAGTGAACATTCGAGACTTGCAAGCTCTGCAGCTGTCTATTGGGTTGTGCTGATTGTGAGTTGGTAACTAGAAACAATATTCATGAGATGAACCTGTTCGTGCTGAACTGATCTGTTAACAATAAGTGAAATAGTTTTTTTTTGATTGATTCAAAATTCAATTGTAAAAAAGGCGTTTTGTGGTGTGGATGGTTCTGTTGTAGATGATGACTGTCTCGAGTTCAGTTCTAGAGAAGGGTAAACAACAAATATTGTATGAACTTGATAGCGCCTGGCACTAAAATAGAATTATTCTCATAGGTTGTGGCAAATATTTTGTTTGGACTGGGAATAAGATTTATGAAGTGACAGTGGTAAGAAAGCCTAGTCGGGACTATGCGCACTAATCACATTGTAATAAATATGGGGTGATATTTAATGGCTCTCGTTATTCCTGTTTTGTGTAATCCATTCTAATGATTGCGTCAAACACTTGAGGTTTGAGGCTTCGATGATATTGTAATTAATGTGTTTGCTCTTCTTTTTTTTCGATAAAAACATACATCGAAGATATTAAGTAGTTCAATATCAAGTGCCTGATATAAGACGAGCCCAGTGAGGTTTCTGAAAAGGTATTCGTCTCATTGGACTAGTTATATCGTCTATTATATTCTGACTAAACCGACTTGAATGCATCGCGTTATTCGACTATCCCGTTGGACTAGTCGAATAGCAAAGTGGATTCCAAGAGGAGTGAAACTAATCACAAGGTAAATTCGTCCCATTGATACAAAGAATGGTCTGTGTGTTTGAATAGGTTAATGAGATGCAAGCGAAGTTGAAAGTTGACATTAAGAGAGGTATATGCGTATAGATTAAGTTGTTTTTTTTTTGAAATTTTTTTGTGAATTATGAAAAGAGTTCATAATTCAGTAGAATGGAATAGAATCGTGGTAGGGTTTTCACTTTCACTTACATTTTTACTTATTCGCTTCTTTGCGATCGTATTTCTTCGTGTGCAAATGAAATATGATGTGATATTTTTGTTTGTTCGTTTATTTATTTCATACTAATTCCTGTGAATTTTTTGGATAGGTTCTTGTACGATGAGTATTATTTTCGTATCATATTTTCAGTGTCTTATTTTACGAAAATTTCGAAGTCGAATTGAAACAGCAGTATGTCTGCGTGTGCAAACAGTATTCTCATATATTTTGTTCTTCTTCTTTTTTTGACTAAGTGAATGGTCCACCTTTAGGAATTGTTTGCTGAATTTTGTGCTGAATTTATCTTCATTTAACAAGTGTATTTGCGATTGAATTGTTATTATTAGTGTTTGCTGTTCACATATTCGTTGATATTTTATGCATTTACCTTATATATTTTCAACAGCACGAAACAAATTAATGTTATACGTACGTTTGTTAAGGCACTTATTCATTCGTTGGTTTATTCTTCTTGAACGTTACATTATCCTCTTCAGATATATTATACGTTTGTGTGAATTCAATTGTGCAACAGTAGAGAAGGGTAATAAAAAGGGATGCATTAATGCAGATGGCACAGGATTGCTTGCGTTCAGTTCAGCAGAATTATGAGATCTCGAGTCTCACAGCTAATGGCTTTCCTTGAATCTCTTTTATTTTTGGATGTGAATTCTTTCGGAAATCTTATTTGCTATACTTGGCATTCCCAGATTTCGACAAGTTAATGAATAAAAATTGAATATTAACAAGCAATGTCGTCGTTCAGACATTGCTGTAAGGTGTATATGTGTATATAAATTTGCTAATGTCGTCACGCATGTCATCATGGAGCAAAAGTGATTTATAGACATTAATTCTTGGAAAATTACACTCAGCTTACGCGCATATATAATGCTCAGAAATTATCATTTACGTATATGTGTAATGCTGGTAAATGTAAATTGCCGTTTTGACTTGATTCGTCGTGTGTTTATATTAAAAAATTAGTCTTCTGATTACACTTCTTGTAAAAATTACTTGTAGTTGGCTGTTATGTAGCTGTAAATATTATTTGTAGCGTATTATATGAAACTGTAGTTGCCCGTTATGAATATGAATGTGATTGCGATTGCGATTAATATTGTTTATGACGATGGTCGTTTGGTTGTATAATGGGAAGTTTGATGAAATGTTTACGAAACGTAATTCAGGATCAGTAAATTGGTTTTCGGCGAAAAAGTGATTGGAGTAGATTAAATGATCGATAAGGAATTAAGCCGAGAATCGTATGGCATCAAGTAACAACCACACAACGCAATCGAATAGCAGCAGTAGCAATCGGTTGTGCTCAGCGAACTCGAGTAGTCGTCGATCCTCATTGCATAGTAACACCAGTAATAGCAGTAGTAATAGTCATCATTCGTCTTCGTCCTCTTCTTCGAAACGTATCTTTAGACGTGAATCTTTCGCCGCAACAACATCGGACGATTCTGACGACGCGTCGACGATAGACGACGATTTCGGTGAGTCGGATGTCTCAATTGCAAATTTTGAATCGTTTAGTTCTGCTTGGTGAATTTTGTCTTACAATTAGACTTTGTGTCGTATAAATTTTGAATTTTGGGCTTTGTACACGTGGATTCTAACGATAAGTTCTGGATCCTGGGCTTTTGGATGCTCGATTCTGAAAGATTCTGGGTTATGGGATATATGATAGCTGGCATTCCTGGCTTTGAGTTAAGTAATGATTTGGATTATGGGTAGTGGATGGTGGATGAGGAGTTCTCGTATAGGGTCGAAAGGAATTCATGAAGGACTGGTTTGATTGGGGATTGAAAGTGCTTAATTGAAAGTTGTTTCCAATAGTTTGTGTGGCGATTTCGTGGTTTCTTTAAAGGAAGATCCACAAATCGTCGTGATTCAGAAGGAGCATCATCGGGTGGCAGTAGCCAAAGTGGGTGTCTGAAGCGGCGTTCGGCTACCGCTTACCATCGAAACACCACTTCACAACAAAGCAGATCAAGCGCTAGTGGTCATCGAACACAGGTATGATGTGAGAGCCATATTGGGTTGATTTGCGTTGTGGTTATTTGAGTGTTATTATGCCGAATAAATGATTTGAAAGGCAAATATGGAAACGTATTTGCCGTTTTCTCGTGTATTATTGTTGTACTGTACCAGCCAATTGTATCAAATTAATCACATTAATTTGAACGGCGAGTATGGAAACGGTGTGGTTGTTTGATGGTTATTTTCATTAATTTTAGTCGTATCCAATAATAAGCAAATGATTGATTTGATGTTATTTTCGGGTTAGCGAGAGAAACATTTCGACATCTTAAAGTGGTTGTCAGTTTTTTTTCACGCCCGCACCTCTTGAGAAATTTTTGAGTTGTCCTCACACCCCTCACAACACCCTCTCTGTATCTCCAATCTACTGAAGTAAGTGTTTATAGTGCAAATAAAAGTATAGCAGTAGAGTAAGTTCTAGCATTTTTAAATAGAAATGTGTTGAAGTCCATCCTGGCTTGTTTTATAAACGTTGAATGTATGTATTGAGATCCACCCTCGCCTCTTTCATGTATAAAAGATGAAAATTATCATGCGCCATTTGGAATGCCGTTTCGCGCTGCTAGTTGAGAAACCTCATTCATCATTTAACGAAACAATGGATTTGTTCTCACTCTCAGTTGTTTAAAGTCTTTTGAATTGGTTTATTTGTTCAGTGGTTCGGTTCAGTGAAAACAATTTATTGTTGAGATACTTTGAGTGATAATTTCGTTTTGAAGGTGACTTGGTGTTTTTCAACAAAAAATTC